AAAGATTCTCACCACTGGGCCAACTGGCAGCATCACAACAGATGGAGAAGAGATAGAGATTGTTAACAGCTTCAGCTTGCTTGTCTCCATAATCAACACCCTTGGTACCAGTAGCCACGAAATCAAAAGATGAATTGCACTGGGAAAATCTGCTGTCAAGGACTTCTCCAGACTACTGAAGAATAATGACATCAGTCTAGAGAAAAGGTGTGTCTGATCCAGGCTATAGTCTTCACAATTACTTGCATCAGAGAGCTGGACAATGACTAATGATGACAGAAGAATCGATGCCTTTGAGTTGTGGTCCTAGGGAAGAGTACTGAATATACCGTGGCATCCACTTCCTAAACATGCCTTCAGAAACCCTATAAACTTTGATAAATGTCAATAGTTACGGAAAAGCTTCAGACTTTTTGCTCACAGGGTTGCTGAGTCATGCTCGACTCATAGGCAATCAACAACTACTAAAAGAATAGGTTCATTATGGAGAGGTGGACACCAGATTGCTCCTTAGAGGCAAGGATTTTGAAGCTCCATCTGACATACTCTGGGCATGCTGCAAGGAGTGGCAAGTCCTTGGATAGGGCCATTATGCTTGGAAGGGTGGAAGGACAGCGAGGGACAGCTCAAGAAAGGAAGGTCCTGAATGAGATGGATAGACTCAGTCAGCGACTGGTGTAACGGGGTAGGTATATCAGAGATAATGACTTTGACTCAGGATTGAGTAGTGTTCAGAGCTGTTATAAGACTGCAATGAGTCATAAGCAACTCAACAGCACATAACAACTACTACTGTCGGGACAGCATCTTGTCTAGAAAGGAAGTTTTGAAATTTTTTAAAAAGCAGATCCTCTCCCTAAGGTATTTAAATCTTTCGCACATCCACTTACCTGCAAAACTGATGAGGGTTTATTTTGCTAAATGGCCATAATAGTGTTCTAAAGTGTCTAAAATAGTAGGTATTTCAAATGAAGGTAGGAATTGTTTACATTTGCTATATAAAGCTTTTAGAAGGGATTCCAGTAAACACACACACACACACACACACACACACACTCTCTCTCTCTCTCTTTCTCTCACTCAAGGGTAACCACTGAAGTGGTCCTCCCTGATTCCCAACTCCCCACCTCTTGGTTTTGATTTCTGTGTAAGCTCTTTTCACCTACATGTGTTCCGAGACTCCATCACCCTTGCAGACTGGCTTCAGACTTTTACCTGTTGTGAAAAAAAAGTAGACGACAATGTCTGAAAACCCCACAGGGCAGGAAACTAAGCTAGCAGCCTCCAGTCACCAAAAAGTAGTTATTGTTATGATAAAAGAAGGCTGTGTCCCGCCTCCATAGAAACCACAAATGAACCAATAAATTTGTGCTGGTGTAATCTGTTATGCAGCAAAAGATAATATAGGTGCTGCTACCTTTCTACTGTCTTAACTTGATAATTCACAGTAGTTAAGAATACAATTAGACTATCCCAAAGAAGTTTAAGACTACCGAGTAAGAACCCACTCACAGCTGACCCTCCAGTGGGTTTTCAAGAGGCAATAAATCACACAGGAGATTGCCCATCTTTCTCTGGAGAGCAGCTGGAGGGTGTGAACTGTGTACGGCAGCACAATTCCTTACCACTAAGCCACCAAAGCCTCCTAGAACTTGTTATTAAAATTTGGCCCACACTATCTATGCATCCTAACAATTTGTTTTCAAAACATTGTGATATGGATTGTGTAACGTTTTCTTCATAATCCTGTGAAATAAATAGATTGATTTTACAGAGTCAGAAAAGAAAGGAGGCTCACAAAGGACAAATCACTCAAATGTCCAATTATGGGTAGAGGCTGGTACTAAGAAACCAGGTGACCCCTACATAAAACTCTTTTTCCTAGAGTAAACTTCTATAGTTCTCAGCAATACTCCTATGCCCATACATGATGAAAGCACGCCACAAACATTAAAATACAAATGCCTTAAAGTCAACTTATCCACTAGGTTAATCGTTGTACATGGTAGTTAAAATGTCTTTTTTCTAAAATCTTTATTTCTTAGTAAAGAGGATTATTTCCCCTCATGGCTTATTATAATACTAAGGGCTTACACTGAATAATGAGGTCATTGGCAATGCTATGAAGGAGATCTGGGTCTAATTGTCAGCCAGTATACTTTCATGGAAACCAGTGGAGGCTTTGATGTTGCTAAGTTTAAGCAGAGCTTCCAGGCTAAGAAGAATTGGAAACAATGACCTGGTGATCTACTTCCAAACATTATCCAATTAAAAGTCTATGGATCACAAAGATCCAGGTACTATTTTGTTCCACTGTGCAAACACAGGGTCACCACAACACAGGCTAATTCCATGGAAGTAAAGACCAAACACATTAGTTATTCTCATCAAAGATCTTTCAAACAAAGTCACAAAAAAGCCTCTTTTATTTTCTAATAAGACTAAATTTATTCAATACCCTAGTAAAAGTTTTGATTATAGTATCCAACAGTATAAAAAGTACAAAACAGATTCGTAGATTTCTAATATATTAATACAAAGTGCATGACTACATACAGTAATCCTACAGGCAAAGAGAGGTGGAAGGGATACAAGAAGACTGTGGTTGAGGTCTAGTAATAAATAAATAAATACAGAAGTAGAGATGATCCATATTATAGTATATTCTACCACCAACACTGCAGCCAAAATGTACAAAAAATAAGAGGAAAGAATCCGTTTCAAACAAAACTCAGAATGAAGATGATAAGGCTGGGACTCTTGTAATACACCTCGAATGCTGTGGGAGAGGTGACCCAACTCACTGTGTAGTCTGTGCATAATATTTCTATATATGGTGGGTGGCATGTAGCATGGAGACTTCCCCAAATGAAGAAATATAGAATCTTCAGTTTAGATTACAAACTATAAAACTATAAGATGCCAATAAAAAGTGGCTCACTCCTTATTGTTATTTATACTATCCATTTTTAAAAATCCAGTTTGAAAAATAAGCACTGAGTATTGTTACTTACTATAAGGTAGGCAAAATGCTCCCCCTTCATTATGAAAAATCATAGCCGGTGATAGTTTTATCTTAAACTTTTCAAAAAGAGGCAATGAAAGTACTTTGGTTTGGGTTCAAGTGAGAGGCTTTTAACCAAGATTTTAGAATTGAAGAAATCCACATTCAAGATTCATTTATCACTCAAAATCTTAATGTTCAGAAAGCTTAGCTTAAAGAAGCCAAAGGGGGGGGGGGCTGGGGGGGAATTTATATATCAACCCACTCAGCATTGATATACACCTTTTTTCTTTTAGTAAAGAATCTTACTTTAAATAGAATGAAAAAAAAAACCCCAAAACGAATAGTTTTAAATCAAACACCCACTCTACACAGATAAAACCTTCACAAAGGTCAACTGAAGTAATCCAGAGCTAAAACTGAATTGTACAGATTTTCAATGAAGTCACCAAATAGTAATATAACACAGTCAATTATTTACACACTCGGCAAGCCCTCTGAGAAACATGGCCCAAGAAGCATTAACCTTTTTCCACGCCACCTTGAAGACTTGCATATTTTCCAGACAGTTTTGAACAGAGTGTGTTCTCTTATCAAAAGTGGTAATGCTTTGGTACCAAGTTAGGATTGTGTATCCTAAAAACCTGTCATTTCCCCAAGAGAAACTTTGATTCTGCTTTAGAAGTTTCATATAAATTAAACATCTAATCAAATATTAATATGGAGGGAGGAGAAACTGGATGCAACATACACAAATTTTCCCTCTATTTAAGCCCTTACTCTCTCCATCAAGGTATTTGTACCTGAAATCTTAGTGTGTCCTGCTTAATGTTTCAGTAGTACTGGTTTGAATCATTAAAACGTTGGCAAGACCTTAATATTTCAAATTTATTAACAAATACCTCTAGGGGCATGTCCATTACTGGGTTATGACAAATTTATCATGAGGGAAAACAAGGGTAGCCAGCCAACTTTAAAAATGCCCCAACCACTGCTTCTCAATATAGAAAAGACTAGAACTACTTACGGTTTATCATACAACAAAATCCCATCTCTGTCCCCTGAAATTCCCCTTTTCATTCATTAGAAGGGAATATAAGGAAAAAAAAAAAGAAGACTTAAAGAGCACTTTACAGCAGCATTCAGCTTTCCTATGAAATACTCAGCATCTTAAATATTATGTACACTTTTTTTTCCTTTTCTAAGAGAACTAGACACTGGCTTCAAAGTTTGTTGAACTGGGGAGAAAAAGAACCCATTCAAAACCATTCTACATATTGTCTTTTGGCAGAACAGCAAGTATCTGAGTTTTAAAAATAGGAGTTACTTTGTTGCAACTTTTCAAAATGTAAATCCTGCTGTGTTCCCCTTCTACATAAGGCTCAGTCACCACTCCTGAGTAGAGATGGGGAGAGGCTCAGGGCCTGGCTCCTCTGGCTTCTCAGCAGTGGCTTTCTTGTTGCTGCAGCAAGGCTTGAATAGATGTGTGTCGATGAGGACTTCTCCAAAACGGCCTTTGTAGATAATACCACAACATATTTTCTGTCTGGAGAAAAAAACAAACAACAAAAAAAAAGGAACAGAAAAATGAATAAGGCAGAATAACAGGAATGGATTTTTTTTTAAAGAGGAGATGATCTATTTATTAGGACTAGACAGCATGAGTAAAAAGGTTCTACTTCCACAATCTCATCACATTTCACACAAATGTGACCCCAATAAGTCAGGCAATGGAAATAACCCAGGTCCCTTGAAGACCACACTGGAATTTTATCAAATATTAAAGAGGAAGGAGATATGCTGAGAAACATTTTTCAAAGGTTATGCCTTATTTTTTGTTTTAATTTCTAAATAAAAACATGAGCATTTCTTATAAAGTTCTCCTTTGGACGCTCCCTAAATCTCACCCCAACATTCTAGTCCTTAGTCTCTTGTTTCAGGTTTATCCCTCATTTTTCCCCTTCAACGATCATGTGATGTTCCCATCTCTAAATAACACACACATTTTCATGCTCACTGTGTATCTCCATGAATATATAATTTGTTTCTTACATATACATTGTATGTGTGTATACATAATGGGAACATTTTCACTTTTACCTGAAGATCTGATATGGTTGCAAATAAGCAACTGTTGTTATACAGCCTCTCCAACATTTGTACTGGTGGACATCAATTTATGCCGATCCAGTCATCAAAAAATGGCATCTAAGATTTTTATTGGTATTTTTTTAATCAATTTGAAAGTTTACAAAGCAAACTCGTTTTCAATCAAACATATTTTGTTTTATAACTAATTACAATACCTATACTGTAATCAACATTTTCTCTGATTCTCATTAATTCTTCTATCCTACCCTTTCTGTCTTACGAGCTTTATTCTAGGCCAAATGCAGCTCTTCTGATTGTATATGGTTGATTATCCTGAGGAGTGAGTGGTAGTATGTGACAATGAGTTGACTTCGATTCATGGCAATTATGAACAATGGCTCTGAACCTTGCACTATCCTGAGCCAACCTTAACTGTCTCTGACACAGCTGACCCCACTGCCACAGTGTCAATCCATTTCATCCAGAGTTTCCTCTTCTGCACTGATTCTCTACCCTCTCAAGCATGATGTCCTTCTTAAAGGACGGGTTCCTCCCGGCAACATACCCAAATAAGAAACAAGAGCTTTAAAATCTTTGCCTCCAAGGAGAAAACTGGTTTCACCATCTTCGGGATAGACCTATTTGTTCTCTTGGCAGTCCATGGTATGTTCACTACTCTTCTCTAGCACCACAACTCAAAGGCATTAGTTCTTCTGTCATCCTAAGTCACTTAATAGGCCTGTTTATTAATTTGGCTGTAAGAGTCATGGGAATAAATATTTTTTCTAGATTCAAAGGGAGACGGGGCCATAGTCTGGGGAAGCAGGGATGGTAGTATCCCCAAAATACGTTGAGTGTTTTTTTGGTATCAATCCAGTAAAACATACTTTCATTTAATGGCTATCTCCTTTATGTAATACCCATTACCTGTTGACTTATCTTTTTCTTCCTTCATAACATATATATTCCAATTTAAAACTTCTAATTTTAAAATAGTCAACCCTGGTCTTTCATGTCATAAAAAATTTTCCTACCCAAAAATGATAATCTCTACCAATTTTCTTTTTTAATGGACCTGCAACTGACTTATCTATTGTATATACTGTCTAGGTAGGATATCAACAGAAATTTTCTACAGACGCTGCTTATAAAAATCCCAGTAACATTTACTTAATAATCCATCCTCCCTAATAATTTATACCACCATGTATCATATATCAATTATCCACATATTGAGTGAGCTTGCTTCTAGAGCCTTGATTTCATTGAATTGATTAATCTTTCTATTTCTAGCCTAAACACATATTAACTACTACAAGTTTTAAAATGTATCTTGATTTCTGTTGGGACAAGGAAATTCAGTTCTCTTTTAGAAATAATTTTTGTGTTCTCTGCTTTTCCACATACATTCTAAAATTAAATTGCCAAGTTACCATTATTTTAATAACTTAAGTATCCACACAATAGGTTCCATTTTTATAAAGGTTCGATGTGATAAAATGTCTAGGACTTCTTTTTGCAATCATTTTTGCGTTTAGTAAGCCTGTTGATCCTGACCTGAATTTCTCTGGGGAAAGATTTTTGACAATAGAAGCAATTGCTTTATTATGCAACTCTTCTGACTTCCTATTTGTTTATGAGAATTTTGGTTCTGTTTTTTCCTACTAATACATATTATGCATTATGTTCAAATATAATGACGACACATAATTGTTTAAATTAACCTGTATCTTTCCAATTTCTGCTTTATCTGTTGCTAAGATTCCTTTTTCTTTCCTAAGGTTGCTTATGTGCATCATCTTTTTTCTCCAGGTTCTTTATTTCTTGTAATATTTTTGTTAATTAGCCCAGGTGGCCCAATGATTAAATTCCTAGCCTTTGAACCCACTAGCAGCCCAAAATCAAAGATGAGAAGGCAAGAAGAGACAATTAAAAAGGAGGAATCCAGGGTGGAAAAGGGTAATATTGACACATTGCAGGAATTTTGAACAAACAGGGGATCAAGGAACAATCAAGGAACAATTCTTATAAATTATTAATTAGGAACTAATTTACTGTCAACATGCATGTGTTGTTTTCAAAAGTTTTGTCCAAGGCTAAAGCCCGGAAGACAATCAGGGATAGGTAGAATGGTTAATAGAAATGAGAATTATAAGGAAGCGGGAAAAGTGTGATACTGTATTGTAACTAGTTCTAAAACAAAATATGGATAGTTGAAAGACAAACCAATTTGCTTTTTTCAAATCACAACCGAAAAAATAAAAATGTTAACCATGGAAAGCTTGGGGTAAAAAAGAATGAGAGAAATGGTGAGCTGCCATTAAGTGAATGGTCAGTGCTGTGTGGTTGTGAGATCAAGCCTGTAATTATGTTGTTCCAATCATCTCTATATCCCTATTGATAGTCTGCTTAATATTTTAAGTGATGTTTAAAATTTTAAACTATATCAGTTTATTTAACAAATTCTCCACATTACACTGCTAGTTAAGGCTTTAATTAGAAGTTGTTATTAACTATAAAGAGAAGTTCTGAAATGTTTCAACTTTTCTGGAAACTGCTGTTTTTAATCAGTAATGCTTTTCTTGACTTACATCATACACACTTTGGGCATGTTGTTAGGGGAGGCCAGTCCTTGGGAAAAGACTGGAAGAGGTCATCAAAGGAGAGGAAGACCTTCAACAAGACAACTGACACAGTGGCTTTAACAAGGGGTCCAAGGCTGTTGGAGATGTAAGGATAAGGCAAGGTTCAGATCTGTGTTCCACAGGGTTACTATGATTTGTACTCAATTAGATGGCTCATAACTACCAACAGCTTTCAGAACAGTTAAAGGACAGAAGTCGGCTGTTTTCAATCACATTTGTGGTAATATGGTTACATAAAATGCTAAAATAATAGATAAGAGAAAGCTGTTATGCATTTCCCAGTTTTGGGGAAACTGCAATGTTTAGAGAGCTCTGGGGGTCCAGTGGTAAAGTATGCTGATAATCCAAAGTTTCATTTGAGCGTCAAATCTACCAGCTGCTCTGCAGGAGGAGGATGGATCATTTCCTCCTGTAGGTTTAACTGCCTCTGGAAACAGCTGGATGGTCAGCTATGAGTCGGTTCACACTCCATGACACAAATACCAATCTGTGAGAGAACAGAGTTCTGCTCCTTAAGGCCAGAAAAAAAAAGTTTTCATTCTCTCACTGCTTAATGACCTTTTTTCTGTCTGTCATGTCCCATAATCTCATTATCATAAGATATGGATAAACTTTAAAAAAAAAATACAAAAAAATTTGTCTTTAAGTAAAACTAGAAAAATCCTTAAAAATGTTATCTCTGAATATACCCTCTTTTCTAGTCTATTTTCTGAGGACTCAGAGGCGACATGGTCACTTTTTTGCCACTTAGTAGTGCTTATTAAGTTGCCAATGCCATTTTAAGAAAAAATTTTAAATGTAATTTTAGAACTTGTAGGATTTTTAGTAGGAGGATTTTACTCCATTAGTTTAATTAGGAAACTCAGGTCCCCTGATGTGATTTTTATTTTAAATCAATTCTAATAAAAAGAATATAGAAACTCTGGTGGCCTAGTGGCAAGAAGCTGCACTGCAATCCCAGAGGCGCATGGATCAAATCCAGCAGATGCTCTGCCAGGGGAGGAGGGACAATCTCCTCCTGTACGAGTCAGATCTGATTTGACGGTACACACACACACAAAAAAAAGAATATAGAAAAAAATCCCAACTCTAACTCAATTCATGTTTAATCTACCTCCAACCACATGTATTACCAGCTATTTGCAAAATGTCATTTAATTGCTATGGAAGCAGGGTAACAGTTGCCTGTAATTAGAATGGTTTGGTGGTTGAGAGCAATTTTATGTTGCTTTTTACCTTTTCCAGTATGTAAGATCTAAAAAGGAAAAGACTGGTGTTCTGTTGGAGCCAGAAGCCATCTCTGTATCAGAGCCATCATCTGACTGGTTACTGTAACAAGGAGACTGAGCTGGAGAGGCACTTGAGGTGGTACTGTGAGCATCAGAATCTGCAATAAAGAGGGGAAAAAATTCCATCTCACTATATATAAATGCATTAACCCTCAACAAACACACTGTAAGTAAGCAAAAAATAATTTCTATTCACACTGGTATTTAGAAATCAATATATTTCTAAAACACAATAGAGATTCTTAGGCTTTCAAGAAGAGCAGACATATATATTCCCCGTTCTCACTTCTATACATACATAACATCCTTGGACATTATATAAAAAGCAATTCTAAAAAGACTATGAAGGTAGAAAGATGAAAAATAGGCTAGACACCTCAGAACCCCAAGAAGATCAGCTGGTGGTGTGCTGGTGGATTCTTTTTGCTTCATAAATCCTAGGCTAAGAGTTAGAGAAATTGGCAACCTAGAAACAACAAACAAACAAAATAAAAGCTTCAACTAAGTCTATTTTCTCTGGTCCAAGGACCAGAAGGGAGCTAAAAACCTTTATTAAATAGTAGCTCTACTCCAAACACCAAAAACTGTGGTCTGACTCACACAAAAAAAGAAGGTATTTAACTGGTCAATAAACACATGAAGCAATGTTCAAGGTCACTGGCTATTAGAGGCAAGACTCAAAACAACAAGAAGCATATAACCCCAGCAACAACAGCAAAGTTCAATAAGATACCAACTGGTGAGGGTTTGAAGAGACTGATACACTGCTAATGGAAATGTAAAGAGTTTCACTGCCAATCTAAAGGCAAAAAGTGCAAATCTATCAGCTGCTCTGAAAGAGAAACATGGTTAATCTTCCGTGCAAAATACATACTCTGAAAACCAACTGGAGGGTTAGCTATGACTCAATAACAACCTAAGAACAGCAACAATACGGAAAGTAGTGTGACACTTCCTTATTAAGTAGGAAACAAAGTATCATTTGGTCATGGAATACTTTATGAAGTATATAACCTAAAGAAACAAGAGCTGTAACATGAACAGATATGTGAATGCCCATGTTCACTGCAATAGCAAAGAGATTAAAATAGACCACATGTCCACCAATGGACAAATAGATAAAACAAATCTGTGGCACAGTCACACAATGGTGAACTATGCCATATGAAAAACAATAAATAATTAAAGAAAAACACTGTATAACATGGATGAATCTAGAGGACATTATTCCAAGTCAAATAATTCAATCACAAAAAGACTGTTACTGTATAAACTATCATATGAAAAGCTAAGGAAAGGTTTTCACACAGAATCATTCCTGGATTGTTACCAACATAGGAAGGAAGGATATGTGATGTAAAAATTAATAAAATAGATTGGAGCTGTCAATGATTTCATGTTACCTGACAATTAACACTCTTGGTACCAGCAGTCAGGGATCTCTCCATATTATTTAGGAGCAATGATATCAGTTTGAAAACTAAGGTGCATGTGATTCAGGCCATGGTTTTTTCAATCACTTGCTATGCATCTGAGAGATGGACAATGAATAAGGATAGAAGAACTACTGCTGTCTTTGAATTGTGCTGAGGCTGGGGCTCAAAGCATTTGTGACATGTTGCTTAGAGAAGCCTTTCCTTAGAAAGGGATATTATACTTGGAGAGGTGGAGGGTCAATTAAAGAGAAGACACCCAAGGGAGGTAGTGAGACAGTGAATGCTGCAATGGGCTCAAGTGTACCAGATATGATAAGGATGGCACAGGACAGAAAAGAATTCATGTCTGTTGTTCACAGGATCTCTAAGAGCTGTTCTTGACTTGATGGCACCCAACAATAAGAAAGAAGATGGGTGAAGGAGAGGGCAAAATAAAATAAATATACGATTAGTCCAATATCACTAAAGAAAGACACAGAGAAGTATAAAAGGATTAACAGAAATTAGAACTACAGGAAGTCAGAAAAGTGCCATTTTATTCTGGATATTGAAATTAATGTTACTGAACAAAAATGTGTATGAATGACTCAATGAAAATTTAATTTGTTCTATGAAGTTTCAAACAGCAATTTTCAGGGGGGGAAAAAAAGGACCAAAAATCTCGTTTTCTTAGGAGGAAAGACATACAAAAAAACACCACACACACACACACACACACACACACAAAACCAAAGCAGTGGTCTTACCCTCTACTTGGTCCAGCAACAGCTGAGTCAAAAGTCTAGTTTTTGCCCATGAAAATCTTTAAGGTGCTCCAACATCTTTGACCAAGTGATAAGAAAGGTGGTTCGGTGGAGGGCTATGGAGAGTCCATAGAGAATATGGGGAGTTGGAATTCCCACCATCAGTAAGTAGTGGATAGGAATCTCCCTCACTTGGGATGTCAATGGAGGCTGGAAGTTATCTTTAACCCAATCTAACAGTAACAAGTTAAAATGCCCTCTTTATCTGTTTGAGATTTAAAATAACAGCTTTTTTTTTTTTTTAAAAAAAGTAGAACTCTGGTGACCTACTAAGTAGGGAGTTGTACTGCCAATCCAAGGGCAGGAGTGGTTTTCATCCACTAATTGCTTTGAGAAAGAAAAATGGGCAAATTCTTCCCATGTGATTAAGAGCTTCTGAAAGTCCATTGGAGGGTCAGCTATGAAATGGTGCCAAATCAAAGAGGTAAAGAGTTTGATTTAAAGAAAAAGCATATGAGATCCAGAGCCGAAGTTGTTTCGTTTTTGAAAATTACATAATACTATCAGTCTTTGAAAAGTGACACCATGCTTGGAAGGATGGAGGGAGAGCACAAGAGAAGACGACCCTGGATGAGATGGATTGCATCCTGGGGTAATGAAAGTAGTTATGTCAGAGACAATGAAATTGGCTCAAGGTAGAACAGGGTTCAGAGCTGTTGTACATAGGGTTGCTCAAGTCAGAGTGACTGGACAAGACACAACAGTAACAACTGAATGAAAAAAAACTAACAAATGCTAACACCAACATAACTGAGAATTATCTGACAAAGATTTTAAAGTACTCATGATAAAATATCTCCATTTATAACAAAAAAGCCTCAGCAAGGTAATGAAAAGTCTCAGAAAAAAATTTAAGATACAGAGAAGAAATGAAAATTTCAAAACTGAAAAATACAATAAATAAAAAATCCCCATGGTCAGGCTTATTAGCAGACTAGAGGGCAGGAGAATCTGTAAATCATCTCAATCGGAACAGGGGTAGAAATAAAGGAATACAGACTCTAGACACTTGAAGGATTTTAAGGAAAAAAACCTAACAATTATTCACATCACTAAAGTCCTTGAAGGAAACAAAGAATGCAGGGTTAAGAAAAAGTAGTCAAAGGAATAATGACTGAAAACATGCTAACTTACAGAAGATATGTAAATCTCCTTATTCAAGAAGCCAAGCAAACTTCAAAGAGGATAAAACCAAAGAAATTCAGACCAAGATATACCATAATTGTTGTTGTGTACCACAGAGTCGGAACTGACCCATAGCTGACCTTCCAGCAGGTTTTCAGAGGCAGTTAATCGCACGGGAGGAGACTGACCATCTTCTCCCGCAGAGCACCTGGTGGCCTGGAAACCCGTCCCTTCGGGACTGCAGCACAGCTTCTTACCATTAGGTCAACAGAGCTCTCTATACCATAACTAAACTTCTAAAAACTGAAGACAAACAAAATCTTGAAAGTGAACAACTTAAAAAAGGGAGGGAAATAGTCATTGTGATATACTCTTGCTACTCCATAATCATGGCAAGACTACCACAAGTAAGGATGGAGCCTACCACACATCTTCACCCTTCAGCCAAAGATTCCCTTCTCAAAGACAGATAAAACAGTCCTCCTGTACAAAGGACAGGGAGCGCCGGTGGTGCAGTGGCAAAGAACTAGGCTGCAAATCCAAAGATGTGCAGTTTGAATTCCAACTTGAAGGTACACCACTGCCACAACAAAAAGGGCCAAAGATGTATTTATTATCTAGAAGAAATAAACTCAAAGTGTTGCATGCTGCCTATGAGACTACAGAAACTTTTTCAAATACATCTCATATATTTTTTAATATACATAAAATAGTATGAATTTATATATCAGGACTTCCAAGTAAGATGGGAGAGTAGGCAGACAAGAACCCATACGCTTTTTAATCACAATATAAAAAAACAAAGACAGCAGATACAGAGATAATTCTGGAACTGAGTTGAAACAGAAAAGATAAGGAGTACTTCAAATAATGACTGGGGAAAAAAACCTGAATCAAAACATCAAATAAGACTAAGAGGAGAGAGAGACTTACAGAACAAGAAACTGCAAACTGTGTAGCAGTCATTTTGAATAGTGGTCTGACCAGGTCAGGAACTCCAGACAAGCAGCTCTCTGAATAAAAGAAGTACCTTCCCTTTTCCCCTTCATACCCTTTTGAGGATCAGGCTTGGGATTTCCACCTCAACCACCACCAGCACCAAGTGACTGGCAGGGTTTTCCTGGCCCATCCTAGCTCTACCTAGAGTCAAGTATTTTTTATATGGCACCAGGAATGTGCACAGCTCTACACTCAGAGACTTCATTTGGGAGCTGGCAGACTGATGTGCCCAGCCTGCAACCAGCCACTGAATCAGTGTGGTTACCACCTCTGACTGGAGTCCTTTTCTCTCACTAAGCACCCTGTGGGACACCTTTCTTGACAAACACCAGGCACATTTGAAGTGTTATGTCTTTTGTGGAGTGTACAAAGCTTAGGCACCTCATACTGGCATCTCTTAATGCCAACCATCTCTGCCTCAGTACTGTGCCTGTACCCAAACACTGGACCAATAATACATATCATCACCAAATTTTCCAAAATTAAATAGAAAAAGAAAAAATATCAAAAGCAGCTCAGGAAAATTGAGTTACCTACAAAGAACAAGAAAGACTAAGCTCTCTCTGGTTTATTAGCAGAAACTATGCAGAAACGCTACAGAATGACACATATAAAATACGGAAAGAAAAAGTTGCCAATCAAAAATGTTATACTCAGCAAAACTATCAAATATGACAGTGAAATTAAGATGGTTTCAGTTAAGCAGAAACTAAGGCTATTTGTGAAAATGACACC